ATAAATATATATATATATATATATAAATATATATATATATCTTCTTTCTGCATCTTGAGGGATCCAAAATTAGCTTATGTGTTCTGTAGCCTGGATGGAGCCTTTTGGAATCTGGAACAGGCAGGGAAGAAGTTGTGAGCAGAGGGACGTCGATGCTAGAAGCTGTTCTACCACGCATGGGCAGGATCCCTGCTGTCCAGGTGACGAGATGCAACCAAGTCCTTTTGGAAGCTTCTCAGTGTTTGTTTGAAAAGGCCAATAAGCACAGGCCATAGTATGAGAGAAAGTCTTTTCGCGGGCTGGGTTATTTAGTTATTATTATGGACATATATTTTTAATTTGCGTTTATGAGTAATCGATTTTGGGCTCAAACTGCCTTCCTGCTCTCACCTCTGTTTTTTTTCCCTCCTTTCCACCTTCAGCGGCCCCAGCTCTCCATCCACAGAGCCGTGATGGAAAGATGCAGGCTTCCAAGACTGGGGACACCACAGTTAATCTCAAACTGGATGTTACTCTTTTGAGGGCACAAAGCCCCAGACCGTGGTGCATTAGGCCCACTCTGTTGCATTCGGTGAGGCTACCCTGCACAGAGTGGCTGAGGTTGCTCTTCCAATTTTCCTCCATGATTCCATATCACTGTTTTCTAGAACTAGAATGACTGATTGTCCTTCAGTATATGAATCTTCTCTTCATTTTAAAGTCTATCTATCTCCCACAAAAGATTTTCAGCAGCGAACTAACCAGGGCAGCGAGCCTGTTGTAAGTGTGTGTGCATGCAGATTTGTGTGTGTTGTGTATTTGGATGTTGCTTTAGGGTCCTTTTCCAGAAACAGCTGGAGTTCTTAGGGCTTCTCTTAACTCAGAATCCTTGTGAGCAGTTTCCAGTATACCTTTCTTGAAGTGTGGTAAGAATAAAGGATCCCCACATCTGTTTCTTCAGGAACAGTTTCTGTGCTTTAAATAGACACCATATCTTAATCTGTATTAGTCTTCAAACACAAAAAAATCCCTTTTCATGTAAGAGATGATATTGCATTTTTTGTAAGCATTCAATCCTTGGCTACTATTTTTTTTTTTTTTAATACCAGCTAGCTTAGCATCAGCACGTTAGCAAGTGCCCAAGAATTGATATTGCTATACTCGCAAAAGCATAAAAAGTTAAATCCTTTTGCTAGTATAATTGGCTCCATTGAGGGAAATTGGTTTAAGCTATACAAGCAAAAACTCCCCTTTAATGGTAACAACTGTGCTGCCACCAGGTAGCCTTATGTGGCTGCCTGCCAGGAAATCTTTTCATATGGAGGCAAGGCTTTAAGCACAGGTTTATCCCATCTAACTGAGGATCTAAGAATGACTAAGGCTCCTAACGTATATAGCTTGGTTAGATGATAGTTATATTGGCTGCATCTGGGGTTCAGACTCCCTGTCATGATGACTAGGAGGCACCATTAGCAATTACTGTGCAGATGGGCTTAGCAAGCAGGTTTAGGCCTCTTCGGGTCATTTCTTGTAGGCTAGCACCAAACCGCCTTCCAGCAGCAGCACTGGTACGAGCCACGCATCCAGAGACAGCAAGGTTATATGCCCTCCTGGGCTGCTTGCCTTAGGGCAGGAGCTGGGTCCACAGGCAAGACCCAGCTGGGCTGGTATTGACTTGTATCCCTGCTCTTTGGTGACAGGCCGCTGTGCCCGCTGCGGGGAGAACGTTGTCGGGGAAGGCACGGGCTGTACGGCAATGGACCAGGTCTTCCACGTGGACTGCTTCACCTGCATGATGTGCAACAACAAGCTGAGGGGACAGCCTTTTTATGCGGTGGAGAAGAAAGCCTACTGCGAGCCCTGCTATATTGTGAGTACCCATTGCTTGTTCATGCCCTGATTTCAAATGTAGGCAGTTCAGAAATGGGGATTGCCTTCGCTGCTGTGCAGGTGCCTTGTGGTTACAACTACAGCAGCACTGGTGGAGCTAGGTTTCCATGGTGTTCAGGGGAGTTCAAGTCTCCTCACCTTCCTGATTTAACTTCATTTTGGGGATCTAATCAAGCCCTGAAATGCAGTGGCCAAGCAGAGGAAAAAGGTGCTTTTCAGTGATGATTTCTGCTCTGCAAGGAGCAGAATCTGCAGCAATTTTAGGAGGCAGTCTTTTTCTCAGGAGTTTCCTACCCTGAGAAACCTGATGCGGAAATCCTTACAGGGGCCTGGTATTAAAATCAAGGAGATGGGATGCAAAGCAGCATTCAGACTTCTAAAAATCAGACCCTTTGCATTGCTTGACAATGTTAATGGATGTCCTTTCACTGAACTAGGGGTCTGTGGGTGGCATAACCTTTTAAGCTTACCTTATCCTAAAATTTCTTTTTATGCTTCTAACGAGCTCCTAAAGCAGACAATTAACAGCCTCTCTGAGGATCTGCACCTTTTAAGAGGCTTCCATAAGGGCCAGCTAGAACCAGTTGCACAGCTGCAAATTAAAGAAATATCACGTGCTGTGCCTCAGGCCTTCCTTGCTGTGACCTTAGCATACAGTATATTGGGATAATCCTCATAATTTAAAATAAGAAAAGTAGCAGAACATTCTTAAAGTATTGATACTTTCTGTAAACCTCAAATTGGGAATCCTTTTTATAAACATTAACTTTCCATGCACTTTGTTAAATTAAGCTTGTTTTAAACCAAAGTCTAATATAAGGTTGGTAGCCTTAGCATTCAAGTTCTTCCCACTAAATCTTGCGTTTCCTTGCAAAGATATGTGCTGGCTGAAGTATCACCAGTATGCTGTATAGTTTCTTTTGTTTACCTAGATTTTGATGGAGTAGAGGGGAGAAACATCTGAAATCCTTCCAGAACAATATCTGCATTTCTGAAAGTAGAAATTGATTCTTCTCTTGACATTTCTGGCATTCCAGTAATACTAAGAGCAATACTGTGCATTTCTGAAAATGCCACCAATATACCATTATTCCTTCCATTTCTGCAGGGCCTGTGCAGTGAGATTATTGCTGAAATATTGGATAAAATAAGGAAGGATTTTCTTATTTACAGTGGCAGTGATAGATGGGTCTTGTTAATTGGCTCTTAAAAACTAAATGATTTTTTGATGGAATATGTACTTTTTAAACCATTTCCATTTTTATTGTTTGCATTAAAATGATTGCACCATAAAAAAATTTAAGGTTCATTTTGTACCAAGTTTGGTGACCATATGCAAAGCACTGCAAATTGTAGGAAGGTGCATTGGTAATACAAATGGAGCAACTCTATATGGCTGGAATTAAACATCTCATTGACTTCAGACTGGAATTGACTTCATCTGCTTGCAAATTATTGATACTCCCTTCCCCCCCTCCCCCCCCATCGAGCAGGCGTTCTTCACCACTCATCTGCTTTAGTTTGGGAGAACATCTGCATTAGCCACTGTAGTGATGGTTTAAGATTATTTAATCCCATTACTTACACACTTCATTAGGCTGAGTGAATTGTTGGCAAGGGTTCAGCAAACTTCCTATGTTAGGAGATAAAAGGATAAAAAAAGGAAAGGGAGAAGGGATTCTGTTCCTCGTTTTCTTTCAAATTTATCTTCTATCTACTTAAGGGATAAAGGAATGATAATTGCTTGGTTGCATCTGCGTCTGTGCGTTCTGTGATACAGCTTTGCAGCTCTGAGTACAGAGGCAAGAGTAAACGTTTAATAGCTTCCTTTTATATAACCAGAAGGGGCCTTAAAATGTTTATCCATGCAGTCCACAAAAACCTGGTTATGGACTTAACCCAAAACACTTATGGATCCATCTGCTGCTGCACATGCAGGGGAAAAGGAGGATGACACTGGTGGGTGTTACCATACGTGTAGCTGGACAGCTGGCACTGTGAGCAGGAGTCTGGCAACCTGAAGGCACACCAAAAAAAAAAAAAAAAAAAAAAAAAGGCAAATCTTAAAACCTTAAACCTGGAGGAAACCTGAGTCGGGCTCCCACTCTTTGTTATCTGTCAGAAAGCCCAGGACTGTGGGGTGCTGAAGGCCAGTGCAGCAAGGGTTTCTAGGCACCTGTGATGTGTGTGGTTTTAGGCCCAGAGGAACTAATGTCCTGAAGTGTTTCTCATTGATTTTTTTCAGTGAGATGAGGTCTGCATTGGCCTCAATGGGATGATGACTGTATAAGTACTCTGAGGATCTGGGCTCAAGTAACTCTTGCAAATGTAATGGAGGCCTTTAAATTGCTGAGGCACAGTTTGAATATTTTTGCCTTGAGATGTGCGATGCAGTCATATGGAAGTCAGCGAGATTTAACCACGCACTTGAATTCTGGTGCGTGTTTAAGAATTTTGCTGAATTGAGGTCTCTCATTTTTGGAGCTTTCTCAAGTCCCATTATCAGAAGTAATTTTGACGCTAAGAGATCTAGTTTTGTAGGAAATCAGTGGGACTGAAGATCCAAGACTCAGATTCATGTGAACCTAAATTCCCATAGAAAGGTGGAGCCTACATGACTGGCCCAAGATTGCACAGTTAATCAATGGCTGAAGCCAGCTAAGGAAATGGGGTTCTCAGCTGGTATAAATCTGAGTAATTCAGTGCTGCTTATTTACTAGTCTACCTAATTCACGCTGACTTTTAGCACACATCCTCACCTCCCCATCTCCAGCATTCTTGGCTTTTTACAAAAGCCATTAAGCCAAGCTGTTGCACTGGTACAGAGAAAAACAACTATAGTATTTCCATAGTCCCTATGTATGAGTTGATGGATCTGACTTTTTTTAAACAGTACCCTTGTGTGGCTCTTGGCGGCCATGTGTGCATGAAAACTATGTGCAAAAATAAAAATACATGTTTTTTAACAGAATTGGCTAGTCTTCTCAGTTTATTATGTAACTCTTCTCAATTATGATGGAGTGAAGCCATAATTAAGATTACTGCAAAGGGCTGTATTTAATTAGTATTTAGTCAATACTGAGCCTAAATTTGTTTGGTTTTTGTTTCTGATTTTATTTATTGCTGACCCAGTTAAAATGAAATTCCAAAAGTCTATGAATCAAAATCTGTGGAAATCAATCACCTGTTAAGAAAATCTTTCTCCCTAATGGGAATTGGAGTACCAGAACTGAGTACCAGAATTAGTTTCTTTCACTTAAAAACTCCCTCCAAAAGCCAATCCCTATCGTTTCCTGTTAAATCTTATGAATGCAGCAAGTTCTGTTGCCAGCATGTTTGCTGGTTTTGCTCTGCATCCAAGGATTCTTTCATTATTAATGTTATTTCTAAAAGAGTACCAGCCTTCTCCATTAAGACACTTCTGCTCAACTAAAAGCAACTGTAAAAAATAAAGTGTTTGTATGAGACAGATGTTTCCTTCTAGTCATTGTGACAGTCAGGTATCCTCTGAAATATCACGAGAGGGTTTCCAGCATAACCAGCTTGCTGCTGCACACATGCTGAACACTGTCTGCAATATGTTGTCGGTATACTTTTCCCCTCCCTTACAGGGCAAATTACTGACGCTAACAAAAAGCATTTGCTTTGCTTCTTCTAAGTAATTGAAGAGATTTTAGCGCTGGGCTTTGTGCAGAGAAAAAGGTTAAGAGTAATATCAGTGGAACCATTGTTATAAAAGATTGAAGAGCGAGATGTTAGGGCAGTGCCAGCTGTCTGCTTTCCAAATAGAGTATTATCATAAGGACTGAGCACAAGGTTAACCAGACACACTGGTCTGGCAGGAGATGCTGCTGTTTTGTGAATGGAGTGTTCTTTGATGTCCTGATGACTTTCTCTGGGACGTGGAAATTTCCCTCCATTCTTTATCCCATTTCCTGGCAGCCCTCTCGGTTGACAGTCAGAGATAAACTTTCTGCAAGTCCGAGGGCTGCGTGGTGCTGAGCACCTGCTGTTAGCACATGCGGCGGTCGGAGCAGGCAGATGCTCCTTGCAGTGGAGGATTTCTTCTGTCATGCCTGAGCTGCTGCTGGGTCCCCAGGGAGGACCTAGGTGCAATGGGGAAAGGGATGAGCAAGCGGAAGTAACTCCTCAAACGAAGCAGAAATATCCCAGGGCCAGGTGAAAGGGAGCTCAGAGAAGTGTAATAGCAGCAGTGGGCTGGAGATAACATGTGATTGAGAGGGGGAAACAAATGAGGGCCCATGCCTGGCTGTGTCCCTGTGCAGGAGGAGATGGGGGTATGCTCTGCGGCACCCTGTGCAGACCTGGGGCACGCACTGAGATACTGGGGTAGGGTTTAGGATCGTGCTTCAAATTTCTCTTATAAGGATTTTGCTTTCCGTAGTGCACAAGTGCTTGAAGGAGGAAGAATTGTGTGCGGAGGTCGTGACCGGATCGGTTCCGATCCCAAATTTTAAACATGGGATTATAGCTAGCACTCCATTTTTTTCATCAGTCACTCTTTTTGTGTGTAAAAACCATAAAATCCTCAAAGTTTCTGCCACTTATTTAGTAACTTACAATTTCCTGCCCCACAGAGGCTGTAGCTCAGTGGGAGAAGACAGTTTATTTAGATCATGATAAAAGGGAGACGCTGATACTTCAGTATATGGCATAACCAGAGCCTCTGGTGTCACAGCATCCTGGGAAAACTTGAATTTGCTAATCGTTCTCCTGAAATCTCAGTGTTAACTCAATTTGTTCTCATTGAAATCTATGATAAAACTGCCATTGGCTTCAGTGTGACTGCTATTGTAAACCTCACCCTGCGTGAGCACGTGAGTGTGGCTGTTTGAAAGCTGTGCGAGAACAGCTACCTCCAGCACATACAATTTAAAGTGTGAGGTTGATCCCTGCAGTAAAATTACATCTATTTTTAAAAATAATTCTGCAATTTGTAAGCAGAGATTACAGCACTAA